ACTCCTCCTCTCTCTCTCTCTCTCACACACACACACACACACACACACACACACACACACACACACACGGCTGCAGCTAGAGCCGCAACCAGGCACAGACACACACAGACAAAATGGTTTAATTAAGCCTGAATCACAAGACGATGCAGACAACTGGCCCGTCATATTTCAGCGATCACATCCGTCTTTCTGGGGGTACTTAGGAAGGGTGGGGGCTGGGGATGAGGGAAGAAACCACATGCACACACAACAGCGACTGGCCCCACCAGCGCCTGGATCCCAGCAGTGCCGGGAGAGAAAATGCTAAACAGGGATTTGGAGCTCTGTTCAAGGGGGACTTGAGGGGAAAGTTGGGAAACCAGCCAATTCCCCACTGGATTTAAAACCTGAGAAATCTAAGTCGGCAGGGTTAAATGTGTATTGAATACAAAAGCACTGAGTACATTTGATTTTAATGGTGAGCAAGAAATAATAAATACAGAGCTTATAAAGCGCTTCACATGCAGCCGCCCACAGCCTGCCTCTCCCCTGTGCGCCCCAGCCCTCTCCCCTGAGTCCACCGGACACTGGCAAGGCTTTCTTCTGCTCTTTCCTTTTTCTTCTTTTTAAAATGAAAATCTAAATCCTCTGGTCACATCTGAACTCCAGCCACAGGTGCCAGGCTACAAAGCTCCTTCCAGAAAGGCTGAATGGCTCGTCTCCACGCTCCCACCACCCTGGGCCGGTCCATGGCCACACTTCTGCCCAGAACATTTGCAACTAAGTGACCTGGCAAAGCCCGGCAAGGGGCCAGTGGCTCCTGACATGGGAGCTTGTCAGGCCATCTTCTTTGAGGCCCTTGAGGGGTTCCATACTCCGTGGCTCCCAAATTCACCCCCAGGGTGCAGTGATGCCCACTGGAAATGCTTCCATGAGAGCTCCCTGAGTGAACAGACCCTGGGGCACTGGGGAACATAAGGCCAGAAAGCACAAAACTTCTAGGGCTCCCAAATTAGTCCCACAGTGACCCTGCTAGGCAGAAGGTGTTTGGGTTGGCAGAACTGGGGTGGGTGTACTCACTTCATGCCAGAGACTGTGCGAGGCACTACATGAATATGACCACATACCCCACCAGGTAGATATTGTTAATCCCATTTTACAGATGACAAAACTAAGGCTGAGAGAAGGTATGCGTCTGGCCCAAGGTCACACAGCCAAGAAGTAGCCAAGCTGTGATTCAAACCAGGACAGGCCTCTCTGACTTCCAAGCCCAGAACCAGTTCTGCTCAGTACCCTAACTCTTCAGAGCGCCATAACCCAAGGTGAGGTGCAGCCCCACGGGCCAGGCTGGTCACCTCCTACAGAAGGGCAGTGGCAGAGGCCACTGCTACTCAGGCTTTGCTTAGGGTCATGTCTGCCTTCCCAAGTCCTTGGCTGCCAGCGGATGTGGCTATATTCCAGCCCCATCGCCTGCCAGTCTGCACGAGTCCCCGCGCAGGCGAGACAATGTGGAGCCCATGGTAGTTGTCTCCAGGACCCGAGTTCTTCCAAGGGGAGCAGTCCTGCCCTGGATCATGCCTTCCAAGGGACTCCCTGCCTGCCTTGGATCCCAAGTCCCTCCAGGGACTTCTGAGAGCTACCTAACCTCTGGATGACCTTGGCTTGGTGAGGACTGGGCAGAGGCAGGGCTCAAAGGCCAGCGTGGCCTCTTATCATCTCTGTAGTTTTGGCTGCAAATCAGGGAAACAACATCTGCCTCCTCCAGGCTGTTTAAGGACAGATGGGATGACATACAAGTGTCTAGCACAGTCCTAGGCACATACAAGGTGCTCAGTAAATGTCAACTCTCTTCACCTCTGCACTCCTTCCAAGATCTAACACTGTCAGAGAGATTCCCCAGGAAGCCCAGCTGGCTGCTGATTAATTCTTTTCTCACCTGAAGGCCCTACCCCAGTACTTTGTGCTAAGATGGACTACATAGAAATGAAGATGGAGGGTCCAGGGAGCTTGGAATGATGGAAAGACCAGGAGTTCTAGAGTCTGGTGACCCCTCTGTGTAGTTACAGGACCGAGGATAAGTCACCGAGCATCAGTTTTCTCGTCTCTGAAACAGGTGGAGGTGGGAAGGGTGTAGCTCAGTGATAGAGTGTGTGCCTAGCATGCACAAGGTCCTGGGTTCAATTCCCAGTACCTTCATTAAAAATAAACAAATAGAAACCTAATTACCCCTCCTCCCAAAAATAAATTTTAATAAATGTGAAATTATAAAAAATGCCCCCCACCAAAAGAATAAAAAATAAATAAATAAAAATAAAACTGGTGGAGACGATGCCCACCTCACAGAGGTGCTGTGAGACTCAACTGGGGTAATGGACGTAGAATGACGTGCTGACTCTAAAAATCCCAGGGGGGTGATGGTTATTAAGAAACTGGGTCATTCCTTAGAAGCTGTAAGATTTAAAAACCTGTAAGAAGAATAAAAACATCTACTGTGTGCCAGGCATTGTGCCAGGTGCTTTACAAATGTCATCTACATTCATTGTCACACAAAACCCTCCGTGAACGAGGGTACATTAGAGAGGAGTGAGGCTCAGGGAGCTTCAGGACTTCGCCAAAGTCACACAATTTGGTATTCAAGCCTGGCTCTGTCTGCTCCCCAAATCGATGTTGCTAATGACTGCACTAGAATTCTCAGTAAATCACACAAGGTTTGACCCAGAAGTCGGCTGTCTGTCTCCCAGAGCGGTTCCTTTCTGCTGTTTGTGCTTTCCTTCTGATGACAGTGAGCAGAAATGTTCCAGGCCCTTGACAGCTGCACTGATCACGGTTTGACTGGGGTACAGGATGGGTCTGTCACACGTGGTTGGAACAGCAGTGTCATGACCACCACAGGTGAAGGCATCACCCAGCCTCCATCCCAGCCCTCTGACTCCCACACATGGCAGGGAAGGAAAGGAAAACAGCATCCCAGAACTTTCCAACATCCCCGCAGACAGCGGCCACCCAACCGATGCTCGGTGTGTGTGCCAAGGATGAAAAACAGACACAGTACAGCCTGGTCACCTGCACCCCTCAGCCGTCACAACTTTCAGGATGGATTTGGACACTGCAGCGGGAAGGGTGGGAGGGGCTAGGACTCTGGTTTGTGGGGGACTATGACTACAGCTGGGCAGGAACAGGACCCCTTTTGCTTGACTGCAAGAGTGGTGGCCACTTCGAACAAGAAACAGAGAAACTCTTCTCTTGATAAACAGCCTGCACTAAATGGTCCAGGCAAGTTTCCCACTTTAAAGGAAACTGCAAAAGTTATCAGGCTGCAGTAAGACCAAAGTCTGAAATTATAAGGAAAATGACTTCACTGATGCTAAACACGGAACCACACCCAATATTTTCCCAAGGCATTTCTCTTAGGAAAACCGGATGGGTCTCCCTCCTGCGCCCACCCATCCCCAGGTGCTGGTGAGTTCGTTACAGCTCCTCCTGCTCCTCCGCCCTTCCTTGGCGCTTCACTTAGGAGGTGGAGCTCCCTGTGAGGCCCAGGGAGGAGGCGACGGGTCTCCATCTGAGCCAGCCTGATCTGATCTCTGGGCGTAGCCCCTGCCCCTGGGAAGGGACATCAAATGCATTTCCAAACCAAGATCTGGTGGAAACGAGACCCCTGCTGCCAGGCTTCTGCCTCCTTTGTGAGGAAGAGGCGGCTGCTGTAAGGCTTTAAAACTCGTGGCTAGAAACAAGGCTCAGCCTGGGAGATTTGCTCAAACGATGCACACACGGCAAACACACCACACAGTGGCCCCGCTGCCTAGAGCTCTGACTGCAAGTCACTGAATTAATTCAGAAAAAGGGGAGAGAAGCCCAGAAAACACAAGTTCAGGTACATGCCACGCAGAGGGAAGCTGAAAATCCAATTCCCTGTTTTCTTTTGCAAGGCGGCTGAGTTCAGACTCCCGGGGTTTAGTCAGGCGGGGAGCACGGCTCAGGCAGTGTTAGGCGGGAGGGCAGAACCACCGGCTACTCACGGGCCTCGAGCGCTGTATCTTGGGAGGCGGCGGGCGGGTGGGACGGAGTCTCTGTGGCTGCATTAAAGTGGAAACTTACGACATCAGTACACACGGAAACAGTTTGATGCATTTCCACACACGGCTGCAAGCATCCAGTCACCTAAGCTGCAGCCCGAGGGCCGTGCTGGACGCCTCCTGCCCCCTCAGCTGGTCACCGGCTCCTGCACGTCCCATGTCTGAGGCCCTCCCCTCCGCCTCGGGCCTGGATCACTGTTATCCCCTCCTAACAGGGCCTCCTGCCTGGACCTCCTCCAGCAGGTCTCCACTTAGGCCAATGGGTGGCTTCTAAAACCCACTGTGACCCTGCCACACCCCAGTTTCGAGACCTCTGCTGCCCCCTCCTGTCCTGGGGCAACAGTTCAGCAAGGCCCTGGGCTGGCATTTCAAATCCTCCAAGACCTGGGCTCTGCCAAGCCCCACACAGACCCCTCACCTGGCAAGTGGCCCCAGGCTCTCATGCCAGTTTCCGCCAGCCCAGCAGGTGGAGTGACCCACCCCACCCCCATCTGCCTGGCAAACGTTAACTTATCCTTCAAAGCTCTGCCCAGGTCACATGCTGCCTTCAGTGCTCCCACTTATCCCCTACTGTCACTCAGTATCTGCCCCACCCCACCCTACTCTTACCCCCAACTCTCCTTCAAATGTTCATTTCCTTGAGGGATTTATCCCTGTGCCTTGGGGGAAAAATGATCTGCTCAATGAAGTTCTGATGAACAAAAAAATTTGTACAAAATGCTTGGCTTCTGAACTCAGGATCTGAATAAAAATCAACAGCACACAGACCTCTTCACTCGCCCCTCAAACCCTTTATCTTGAGAGTTAAGCTTTGTTCTCTCAATGGCCCACCCACGTAGATGCCCTAAACAGTGGGGGAGATGGGTAGACAGAGAAAGGAGAGGAGAAGACCACACTAGACCAAGGTCATGGACACACGGCCAACCCTAGGAGGCTTCCAGTGGGTTCCTCCCATTCAGCACCGTGGGTCACAGAGGTCCATCACTACGCCAAAGCCTAACCTGCATGGCCCACTACAGTGGTCACGTGTGGTCAGTCCAAATTAAGACGTGCTGTACGTGTAAAATACACCCTGGATTTCAGACTTTGTTTGAAAAAAGAATGTAAAACGTCTCACAATTTTTTATATTGACAATATGTAAGGAAACATTTTGGGTATTTGGGTTAAATGTATTATTAAAGTTAATCTTATCTCTTTTCACTTTTTTTAAATTACTAGAACATTTCGTAATTTTAAGTTACTAAAACATTTATGTGACTCACATGTGTGGCTCCTGTTACGTTGCTCTTGGACAGCACTCCAGAGCCTCTCCTGGTTGGAGCGGTTCTCCAGAGAGCAAACGTGTCTTAGAACCCATTCTCCACCCCGGACTCCTGGAGGGAGGGGCCGTGTCTCAGGTATCCCTGGATCCCTGGTGCCCAGCACAGGGCCTGTCAGTGTGGCCCACAGAGAAAGCTGACTGAAGGTCTTGATGGAGAACTGAGGTCCCTCGTGGTGCAGAGAGCACATCTGGATGGAAATACACTCTGGCCTCCCAAGCCCTGTGCCGTTAGCTGGGAGTGTGCGCCAAGCCATGCTCAGTGCCCCTTCTTCAGTGGGAGGCTACTTGGGGGGGGGCTGGGGATGCCACTCGGTGGGATGAGCATGGCGCCCGCAGGTGCCCTGGCTGCTGCCCTGGTCCAGGTGCCCCACTCTCACCCCCAACTCCACTTCCCCCATCACCCTCAGCTTCCCTTGTTCTCAGCCACTCTGATTCGGGGTGACCTCCTCCAGAGCCCTCATCACTAGTCACCTCTGACCTGGCATCTCTGATTTCTCTCTGCCAGTCGGGTGGCAGGGTGGCTGTGTATTCAGGAGGTGGCCCCTGGGGTCAGACAGTCTCGTACTTAACTCCAGTCTTCCACTGACTCTCTGGGTTCTGGTAGGCCTGCTATTTAACCATTCAAGCCTTACTTTCCTCATTTGCAAACGCAGGTGACAGCACTACCTTCTAGAGGGGGGGCTTTTAGGAAGATTCCAGAAGATGATTGCCATCATCTCTGCACAGTGCCGCCAGCAGACGCCAGCAACTATCACCATTAGCAGGTTTCCCTGCTTCCACCCTCTCCCTTCCCAATCCACCTTCCACACTTATTCCAGAGGGGACTCAAAAAATACATGCCCAATCATATCACTTGCCTGCCTAAATCATCTCAGTGGAAGGCCAGCATCTCCCAAGGAGTCTTCTGAGAAACACCATCCTGGGAGATGCACTGTATGAAGAAGAGAAGAGGGTTCCCTAGCCAGACAAGTCTGGGAAATGCTGTCTCCTGCCTTGCTCTTTTTGCAAATTCATGGTGCTGGTGAGCACAGAAAAGGCTGCCAACTCTTGCAGCAAAAATGCCACCCTGCTCTCCCCACCTCTGTGGAAGGTATCTCTGGAGGGGGCACCCATGCCGTGGTGCTTTAGGAAGCACCTAGCAGTGGGAAGTGAGTGGCTGCGCACACTTAAGTCCAGCTTTCTGATTTGATTACTTCTTTTGTTAGCATTAAAATTGTGATAATTAAAATTAAAATGAAAAAAAGCAATCCCACCCTAAATAGGCAAAACTCTATTTTTTTGTAAAAGTCCCAGTTCCCCTATTTCTTTGAACACAGACTCACCCTGTAACACCTGTTAGTATTCCCTGGAAAATGCTGCCTGATGTGTTCAAAGCCCGCCAGATTCTCGGGCCCACCCACGAGCCCTGCAATGTCATCTCTGGTGCATCTCGCCCCTGACACCTGCCCTGCTCAGCCCCTTGCTCTCCTTGAAAGCTCAGGTGTTCCTGTGCTTTCATGACAGTCTCCTTGCCTGAAACACCTTCCATTTCCTTTTGTCTCGCCCTTTGCGCCTCTTCTTCATCACTTGGTTGTCTATCTCAAGTGCCACCTCCCCCAGGAGGCCCTCCTGCCCTTCCCTGAGCAGCATGGGTCACATGCTCTGTCCCTCCGCCCACTGTGTATTCATTCACAGTACACAGGCTGTAACTGTCAGCTCACTAATGTCATTTCTCTGTTTACCCTGGGGTCTAGTACAGTACTGGGTAAATAGAAAGTGCTCAGCAAAGATTTTTGGATGAAACTTCCTGGCACACATAGAAACTCAACAAATGTTAGTTCTCCAGATCCTGTGATTAATTTATTTTGCTTTGATGTCACCAGGAAGTGCTAGTTCTTTTGCAACTGAATTTATAAATGGTGGAAGGAAAGCAGCCTCTTGACCACACCCAACCTAAAGCTTCTCTACAAGTAAACCAAGGGGATTTTCAGACACCAGGAAAGGGCAATGCAGTACAAATGTCCCGCGTTCTGCGCGAGGACCCCACTGCAGGGATGCTGGGTGTATTACAGCAGCTTTCTCGGTGCAAAGCGCACAGTAGACACACTGCTAAGAAGTTTCTGCTTCTCAGAGGGAAGGGAGCAGTAGGGTTGCTAGGCGATGGGGGTTACAGTTTCCCAAAGATGCTGGGTGGCATGACAGTTGGGGACACAGGTTGGGGAAGGCTGAGTGCTCTGGGGATGATTAGAACAAGCCAGAGGGGTTGAGTGGTGGTGGGAAGAGGGGGTGAAGAGAGAAGCTAGGGAAGGATCGACTCAACATACCATTTTCTAGAACACGGCTCCAGGGCCCAGGAAGCAGAATTGGGGAATAACTGAATGTGGGGCATTGACGACAGCGTGAGGTGAGGCCCCAGAAGATGGCAGAACTGGCCGGACACAGTGAAAGTCATCCCCATGAGCCAGGCCACCCCACCCCCGCCTGCACTCCCCAAGGCCCGCGGACAGCACCACGGCCCGAGTGCAGGAGCGCATCCTTCCACAGACAAGGAGACAGACTGCAGGGAGGTGAAGTGGCCTGTGCAAGGCCTCTGGCTTGTAATGGGGAGCCCTGGGAGCGGGGCTCAGGCCCCTTAACTGCTAGAGGAAGAGGAGGAGAAACCAGAAGAGCCCTGGAGCAGAGGATCAAGAGGTCCGAGCACCTCTGCACAGTGAGCGTGTTGCGTGTGATCCTCAGTTGCCTGGCTACACTGACTGCTGTTTCGTAAGTGAGTTCAAAAAGGCTGGGCCTTTGGCAGTCTTTTGCTAAGAAGAGTTCTGTTCAACAATTCATCTGGCACTTTCTGAGCTGAGCTGCGGCAGGCTGGATGAGGGTGCTGGGGGTTTCCGTGATCAACACAAGCACCTGCCTTCTTGAAGGTCATGTGTAGTCAGGAAGCAGATTGGCTCTCGCAGGTGGAAAGTCTCCTCCCATGTATGGTGATGGAACAACTATGTGGGCCCCAGGCCCGGAGATTCCGGAGAGTAAGACAGTCCTGTCCTTGAGGAATGTATGGCCTAATGGAATTTGACCTATGTCACGGAAAAAAATCTTTCTTAGAGTGTAAAGAGCATTTGGGCTAAACTCCCAAGGCATATGCTTTGTGTTAGAAATACCCGTGTTCGTATCTTGGCTTTGTCATTTCCTAGTTGAGTTCAATGTTGGCTCTGTCATTTGGTGAGTTATTTAATCTAAGCCTCAGTTAACTTTTCTATAAAACGGTCATAACTCCCGAGTCACCAGCACTGATGTGAGGATGCCCCAAGAGTGCATCACCGCTGTGTGAGGCTCTGGTCCTGCTGATGAGATGAGACCATCCAATCCTCTGTCCTTTCCTTAGACCCACAAATCTCCCCAGAAGAGTCCCGTGAACGTGAGGAGTACACTGTGAGCAAAGCACTGCTGAACGGGACTGGGCTTTAATCATCTCTTCTATTTACATGATGCATTTTCCTTTCAAAACATTTCTACTTCTTTTCTTTCCTTTGAGCCTCACATACCCTGGTGAGGCAAGTTAGAGGAGGATTATTTCCCTACTGTAGAGGAAGGAAACAGGAGGCCCAGAGAGGTTAAGTGATAGTATGAGGTCACACAGCTAGTAGCAGGAACTAAAACAAACAGGGATTCTTATTAGCCCATTGTGCTATCCTCGTCAACCCG